TATAATATATTCTATAAAATTATTGGTAGTTGTGTACTACTATTTGTATTGTTTGTTCAATAAGCGAGTCTTATATTATTGTGTCATTCATTAGTTGCATTGGATTTTTTTATTAAATAATAAACATTACTATTGCACTAACTTTACAATAATTAAACTGCTTTGTCGATTACCGCTAATTGTATACTGCACTATTTATATCGTCCTCATCCAACTTTTATTATTATTCATTATTATTCATTATATTTATTCAAAATACACAAATTATTTTGAGTCTCTAAAAAATATGGTATTGATTGGACATAAAGAAAATGTATTGATGGCATTGAACAATTTTGATTAGCTTGTAGATATAAATTGATTTAATTATAATCATGACAATGAAAAAAAAAAAATACCTGGTGATAAGTTTGAAACAAAATTGAAATCTAGTCATAAAAAGCATAGGTGATAAGTTTGAAACAAATTTAAAAATTGGAAGAAGTCATAATCAAAAACAATATTATATATATATATATATATATATATATATATATATATATATATATATATATATATATATATATATATATATATATATATATATATATATATATATATATAATCAAATGTTTGAAGAAATCATAATTAGAAAAGTTATAAAATAACAAAACATTTGTAATTTCTTTATAAATTATATTTAAACAAAATTATAATTTTCTATTTTTTTGTATAATCACTATTTATATTTAATAATAACAAAATATAATTAAAATTAATAAAAATAAAACTCATCAAAATAGAATAGAAATTGAGTATAACCTCTTCATAAACATACATTTTTTGAAGAAAAAAAATCACAAGTTCTAAAACTTAAGAAACATAAAATTAATATGATTATTAATAAAACATTACTATTGATGAGAAATTGGTAGTAAAAAATTATCCCATAACAACATTTAAATCTTATTTAAGGTATTTCCATTTATTTATATTTGTAATAATTCAACCTATTAGTCATCGTGAGTAATTTTTATAATAGCTCTAAATTTTTTAATTAAAATTAAATATATTTAAGGTGATGAAGTATTTCTTATATACATATTTGTTAAAAACAATTCTCATAATATATTTCAGAAAATATTTAGGACCATTTTATTATACTTTAAAAAAATTCCTTTTTCTCTGTAGTTACTAAAATTAAATTGAGGTAAGATATTTTTATTTTTTTTATATCAGTCACAAAATAGTCTGTTAATTTTCTCTTTCTTCTCTTAAGAGATCACATTCAAAAGAGATAAAAAGTTTCTAAACCAAAAAAAAAGGGTCATAATCATATTGTACAATAAAAAGGATCATATTGTACAATAAAAAAGGAATACAAAGTTTCTACAAGTTTCTTTAAAATTTTAAACAAAGTCTAAAAAATTGACAAATAAATAAAAAAATAGATATGAAGAAGTTTTTAACTAATCTTAAAAAAATACACAAATAAATAAATAAATATGAAGAATGATGATAATGTGAAGAATGATATTAATCTATCTCTTCGAATAAAACACAATACTTGATATAACAAAAATTAAAATAGATGAGACAAATAGTGAGAATCAAATATAGATGAAGACACAGAGAGACATCAGAGAAAATAAGAAGATTAAAGTGTTATTGTTGAATGATAGAAGTCATCTCATTCTTCTTTCCTTATCAAATATCTTACTTTTCAAAGTATATTTCTCTATCACATGTTTCGCTGTCGTGAAAGCTTGCATCCGACCATCAGAGTTTCAAATCTGGATCGTCGCCGCCACTTGCGTTTGAATCTGCCACGGTCGGTAGTTTGTTTTCCCTTTCATACTTTGAACTAACTGAAACCACCACCGTCGATTCGCATCCCACCGACCTCCAACCGCATCTTCACTATTTGTTCCTTTCTTTTTCTCCTATCTATTTTGTTTTGCTCTTCTTGAAGGGTGTGGCCGTGAAAAAAAGTTGAAGGAAAACGATAGAAAATAGAAATTGAACGCAAAGTTGAATTTGTAGGAAGAGAAATAAGAGGTGAAGTTCAGATTAGAGAGTGTTTGATGAAAGAAAAGAAATGTGAGAAGAGAGTGTTAATATTGTTGGAAATCCACCAAATCCTATGATGAATTTCTACCATAATGACAATTTAATTATGAGACAAACAAAGAAAAGAAGACAAGATAAATAATTTCTGCAGAGTTTCTCTCTGCTCACAGACTGTGAAAACTTTCTTATTCACTTTGCAACTGCAAAATACTGTGAATGACTTGTTTGACTTGCTTACAAAAAATAGGGGTTACTCCCTCTATTTATAACTGAGCTTACACCATAAACTCAAAGCTCAAAATATATATTTTGTTACTAAATCAAATCTAATTTATTCTAGACTTAAATCAAATCTATTTAAATATAAAGAAATCTAATCTTTTCAACACCATGAATTACAATTTAGCACACCATCTAATTCATTGTGTTTAAACTATCTATATTCATCATTACTCTTAGCCTTCTGAATACTTTGACTTGCACTCCCTTCGTCATGATGTATGCAATCTGATTCTCAGTTCTGCAGTGTTCTAAATTCATCTTCCCATCTACTACCTGCTCTCGAAGATAATGGAACCTCATTTCGATGTGCTTACTTCAATCATGTGCTATTGGGTTTTTTTCCAGATTGATAGCTGACATGCTGTCGATCTTCATGGTAATTGCTCCATGATCTTTCCCTATTATCTCTTCGACCAAGTTCACCATCCAAGTTGCTTGACATGCACAAAGAGAATCGACTATGTATTCTGCTTCGCATGATGATAATTCTACTACTGGTTCCTTTCTTGAATTCTAAGCAACTGGTGCACCACCTAGCATAAACACATATCCTGCTGTTGACTTTCGATCTTCAGCATCACTACACCAACTCGAATCAATGTATCCCACTAACTTGCATTCTTTTCCTTTATCAGTTGCAGGAAACAAAATGCCATAATCGAAAGTTCCTTTGAGATACCTTAGTATCCTCTTTACTGCTGCTAGATGTGATACCTTTGGCTTTTGCATGAATCTACTTACCATACCTACACTATATGCTAAGTCAGGCCTTGTATGACAAAGATATCTTAATGATCCAATAAGTCTTCTGTATTGGGTTGGATCAACATCATCTTCATCTGCATCTTTCGACAGTTGCAGTCTTGGTTCTGCAGGTGTCGAAGTTGAGTTGCATTCTTCCATCTCAAACCTCTTGAGAATTTCTCCTGTATATCTTCTTTGATGCATCATCAAACCTCTACTGCTCTTGTAGAATTCGATACCAAGGAAATATGAATCTCACCCAAATCAGACATTTCAAATTCCTTGCTGAGATCACCTTTGAAGTCTTCGATCTCACTTTTACAACTACCTGTTATCAACAAATCATCTACATAGAGACATAGTATAAGCAATTTACTCTTGCTTCTTCTTACATATACTCCATGTTAGTTGTGCACTTTACAAATTCCTCCTCTCTTAAGAATCTATCAATTTTCTTATTCCAAGCTCTTGAAGCTTGTTACAATTCATACAGGATTTTATACAGCCTGTATACCTTTCTTTCTTCGTCATGTTTCACAAATCCAACTGATTATTTAACATAAACTTCTTCTTCTTATGGTCCATTTAAAAATGTACACTTCACATCTATCTAACAAATATAACACAAGAGAAATATGTACTAGTCAAAATGTAAAGAAATTTTGAGTTGGGAACACATAAAACATAATTTTGTTATATTTTTTTGGTTATGCATCGAAAATATTAGAAAGAATTGAAAATGTTAAAAAGAAATGGAAAAGTAAAAAGTATAGTGAAAGAGGATGGGAAAGCCATCCACGTGGCAGTCTTAGGAAATAGAAGGATAAAATTGAAATTTCAAGACCATTAAATTTTCTTATGTTATAGATAGCTACTTTCTTTATGTTGCATCAACTATTGAAAGTAAATTTTTTTTATTGTTTCCACTTTCCATGCTCCCATCACTTCTTCATAATTTGAAAAAGCTTCTGTGACAAGCTTTGCATCTTATCCCACATTTCCTTTGCTTCTTTAACAATCTTCAGATTCTCTCTCTTCTCCCACTTTTCTCTAATTCTTTCTTTTCCTCATGCTGCTCTTCTTTCTTCTCTAAATATCTTATCTCTCTTTCCTTCTTCATCACTTTTTCCCCAATTTTTTTACTCACTCACCACTGTTTCTTCAGGTTGTAGATCCATGGAAGACGAAAACTGGTAGTAAAACAACTTCAAAAATAAAAAATAGGTTAATGATTTTAGATCATTTATGTTATTTTCACTTTTTATGTTATTTTAGAAAATTTAATGTTCTTGAAATTTCAATTTTATCCTTCTATTTCCTAAGACTGCCACGTGGATGGCTTTCCCATCCTCTTTCACTGTACTTCTTACTTTTCCATTTCTTTTTAACATTTTCAATTCTTTCTAATATTTCCAATGCATAAACAAAAAATATAATAAAATATAATATTTTATTATGTTTTATGTGTTATCAACTCAAAATTTCTTTACTTTTAATATATTTTGACTTTTTCTTGTGTTATATTTGTCAGATGAACTTGAAATATGCATTTCTAAATAGTAGAAATGAATCAGGTGAATGACGCTTGATCTTTAACGATCCAAAATTCGTATTTATCGGATCGTAAATTGGCTATGTTATCTTCTTCAGATTTGAACATTCGATTGACAACGCAACTGTGAAGTTTGTGCGCAAGAATTATGCCTTCAACTTGCTGATTCCATAAAAGAAATTTTTTCTCTTGGAGCTTGACTGAGAGTTTTGGTCCAAACACTGTGTGATTGGATGGGTTGGAGAACGACGAGTTTTTTGAGACACCTTGAATTGTGGTTGCGATTCCGAATCTTGAGGTGACGCAACTATGGATGAAGCTTCTCTGAAGCTTACACAGACAATTTTGATAACAGAAAACGCACAGAGAATTGATGAACTTCGTTATCGAAGTTCAGAGAAGACGAGAGGATGAAGGTGTGATTGGCGGAAGATGGTGTGGAACGAAGGTGATTTATACCATATTGAATTGTAAAGTGCTCTGCACTATTGCTCATTCATTCAACAAGATGATAACTATTTTCTGTTACAAAAACCGTTGGACAATCCCAACAATATATATGAATGACTCTAAACTACACAACCCTATCGAATGAAATATAACATATTAACTTGGCTAAAGTCCATTACTGATTGAAAGCCCATTACATGATAAAACCCAACACAGAAATATATACTAATACAAATTTTTTCCATATACTATATATAGTATAAATTTTCTAATTCTTACATATATATTTTAAAAGAGGCAGGACAAACAATTAGTCTAAAATTGATGGTGCATTCTATGGTCTAAAATATATATTTTGATCAACTTTCAATTCCTCCAAAATCACATCTGAAAGCAGTTCTAAGCACACAATTCACCAGTCAAATTCAATGAATTTGTAGATTATCTTTTGATTTTAGTTGCAGTTGTTATGGTTTAATAGAGAGATGAGTCTGACTATGATGCAAATGCACCCTCTCCATCTGCACTACGCTTCAACCATCCTACATACATCATTGTTATTCTTCTTTCTGTGTTTAATTACTTTTCTTGCCGCCAAATAAAGTGTTTAAATTTAATTAAAAGAAACTACAAAATCACATACAATGGTACGTACAAAATCACATACAAAGAAGTGTTGAGTGTTTTTTACAATGATAATAATAGAGGTTAAAATATTAAAAATTCAAAAATTTTAAAATATCTAATGAATTGAAAAAAATGGAAGGATTTAATGCAGAGAGTTTTGAAAAGTTCAATTTTATTTATAATATACAAAAATTCATAATTTTTAATTTAAAAGAACTCAAAAGTTATATTGAACTAAGAACTTATATAAATTCTTTAAGTATACTATATGTTTGTTATAATATTTTGAAATTTAAAAAAATATATGAGTGATAAATATTTATTTATTTATTAAGAACACTAAAAACATGAACAAATATCTTCTTCTTCTTCTTCTTTTTTTCCTATGGCAACTACTTTCTTTCTCGTAATTAAAGAAATTTCAAACTTTTGTCATAGAGGATAGCGATTTCCGGCAAAATTAGTTCTAGTTTCGACGCAGCGGAAATGTCCTCTAGCACAATGGTTACTAGCACTTTTGGGAGATAGCGAGATCCACTATCAGGTTTTCTTTGGTGGAGAGTCCAACCGTGATGGTTTAAACTCCTAATTTTCACATTAGGGACCTAATCGGAAGGAACTCTACCGCAGGAAAGTCTAAATGGGAGAGGATTCTCAGATTGGCGCCATGGCAAAGATTACATTGCGATCGCAAGGGAAATCAAAGAAGAAGAAGAGAGGACCGGCTTCAACAATGGATGGCAAGAAAATGAAATCTTTAGCTGGAATCATGAGTATTGAACCAATTGTGTTTCTGAAGAAAGCTCAGAAGAAGAAATGGAAACACTGATGGATGAAATACCGTAGAAATCGCGACGTTCATACAACAAAATGAGGAACACTCACGAGGAATCATAAAAGGTAAAACCCTAAATTCCCCAAATTTGAAATTGATTGCTCAAAACTTGAACTAGGAATTTGATGAAGTATGAATTATGGATGAATAACAGAAACCTCAAAGTCAAGAAACTAGGGTGAAATTTGAACTTGAAGACATAAAGGATGAAGTATCTTATTGGAATTTGGCTATTGTCTATTATGTTCTAGGAGCGAATCCACCGTTACCAGTGATAAAAGGGTTTGCAAGAAGAATCTGGAAAACAAAAAGTGTTGATAGAATAAGCATGCTGGCCCATGGATTTTTCATAGTTCAATTTGGTAATATTCAAGCGAGAAGATATCCATCCAATACCAATTTGGATAAGGCTTGAGGATCTTGACATCAAATACTGGGGAGAAAGAGCTCTCTTTAAGATCCACTACTACGAAAAACCCATCTAACAACGGTTCGGAAACACGTATAATCACGCAGGTCTAAGCATTGTTGTGTATAGTATGGTTGTATACGCGATACTTACTATCACGGTTCAGTGACTGTTATTGTAAAATGTCTACAACAACGGTTTACAAAAACAACCGTTGTAATAATTATAGTTGCAGGAGTTCGATACTCAGCTACAATCAAAATTAAAGCGCATAAAAATATCCTTTAACCACGGTTAAACGTTCCAACCGTTGTGGTATATATAAGAGTTTATTATAAAATATGTGATTGCTTGTTTTTCCCAGCCCCTCATTAACCATATACAACCATTTAAATAGATTTTTGAGACAACAATAAAAAAATTAAGTTATTATTGAAAAACAACTTAAAATATCCAATATTTTTCGAATTACAAGCATCCTGTAAATCATAATTTCCTCTTTTAACTTATAGGATTTGATTCAATCCCAAATTCTTCAAAGTAATTTTGATAAATGGATGCTAGTCTGCGTCTTTCACATTGTTGTACCCTAAAATTTTCCCTCTCATTTTCTTCAAAACATTCTCATGAGGTCCCCATTTGCTCAAAACTACTCAAGAGTTGACTGGTCAAAACCACCTCCTAAGCAAGGGTCTTCAACTAGGGTTTGGTGCTTCTAAAATAAAATTGGTCTACAAGGGTCTCAATTTAATTTCATGGTTCATCATAGGTCCTCAATAATGCTTATGTCAAGTTCCAAGTCTTGCATCACATGTTTGCTCAGTTAATGGCTCAAATGATTGAAAATCAAATGTATTGGATAAAAAGTCAACTGAGGATAATATACTGTCAAACTTCAAGATTTTTTGTCAACATCAACATTTTGAGGTGATATTCATCATTTGATCAAGGGTTTATCATGATTCCTCAAGGAAATCCCTCAAATCATCAAAGGTCAAAAATGCCAAATTAGGATTTAGATTGAAGATGACTGATCATTGACTTTTGGACTAGTGCATGACCTAATGGCTTAAAGAATGATCTCAAGGGCTCAAATACAACATCTTGACCTAATCACATGCCTCAAGACTTTTCCAAAGATTCAAGTGATTGATAGTTGAAGAATTGGATCAATTGATGAAAAGTCAATAGTCACACAAAAGTCAAACCTTAACTTTTTGGTCAACAGTCACACAAAAGTCAAACCTTAACTTTTTGGTCAACATTGGAATTCAAAATAAAGAATCATCAAAACATTTAAAACTATCAAACTTGATCATCAAGAATCAAGAAAGTCAACAAAAATTCAAAATTTGGAAAATTTTTCCAACACTTAGAAATTTTTTTCAAGAAGTGCTTGGATTAAGAGATATAGGCCCATTAAGTTCTGATTATTTTCAACAAGTTTTGGTTAGTTTTTTTATCCCAACTTCTTGGCCAATTTCCACCAAGTTCCCACTAGATTTAGACAAAGTGATCAACATGAAAGTTATAGATAATATTTCAAGCTTTCTAAAATGTCTAAGAACACAAATTTATCATGCTTGAGCTATAAGTTTCAAAGAGATAAAGATGGCATGTCAAACTTGAATTATAGGTCATTTTTATGATGAACTCATGACCAAATCTCATAACTATGCTGCATAATCTCACTTTGTAGGCCTCCAAACCTCAAAATTTATCTATAGACATAATATTGCACACACTTTTGAGCCATTATCCAAGTGATTCAAGGTTTGTCCAAGCTTACTTGCCATTTAAGGAAGAAAGATAACACTTCAATTCTTGTAAAGTGACTTTAATCAAAATGTAAACTCCTTGAGCCCATACATTGCTTACTCTTATCACACACAAGAAAAAAAGAAAGAAGCAACATGTCTACAGATCCTAACAACTCTAGAAGGCATGGTACTATGCATTGGAACTTTGATTTCTCAAGAAATCACAAGTTACATCTCAACCAAGCCAAAACTTGATAACTTGCAAACCTGATCAACCCTTACCCTCAAACCTTTTCCCTATAAATTGAGAGGCCATTTGTATGCCAAAACACGGTTTCACAAGCCCTAAAACACTCTCAAACTCAGAATCACCAATAAACCACCATTGGTTCACATTTGAAGCTTCCAACATCCAACTTCAAATCCACTCGTTCAAACATCATTTATACACCATATAGAACTCATCCACACCCCTGTTACACTTCTGTAATCGCTCAATCATCATACACTATTTCCACTTTACACCTCTGCAACTTGATTTATCCAGAAGAATTGAAGCACTCTCAATCCAAGGTAGGAGTTGCGAAAGCTTCCTGGGAGTTTAGTGAAACTAACCATGTCCTTAGTTTTCATTTATGTTGACTGTGTGATGAGAATTTTGTAACTGAAGTTTATGAAATATTAGGTTTTCAGTTTGGTACCAAACAAAACTCGTGCTCATCTTTAATCTATAACTTTTATAATTTACATGGTTTAATTCGTGATTAAATTTCAAGCAAGTTTGTTTTTGGAAGTTTTCAAAAAGGTTGAGAAATGAAGCTTTTAGAAGTCATCAATGGTATTGTTATTATGCTGCATGCGCGAGGAAAAAGAAGATAGCATTTCAAAATTTCAAAATTGAGTTTGTAATATACTTATTGGGTGTTGTTTCATAACTGAATGAAACAACCACCCCAGTGGTAAAACAGGCGCGTGTTACCATAGGAACCTGGGTTCGAGCCCCAACGGTACCCTTTTATTTTTCACATATTTGTTTCTTTTAGGTTCAGTGTGAACAGGTCCAGCGCGCATATGCATCTTCAGCCCTCAACCACTTATTCTCAATCAATCCAGATCTGACGCTACTTGAGATTTCCCCCATGGTGCACCCCATTGAGCTACCCACACTGAACCTCACAGGCGCCTGGGCTTTTGGATTTGGGTCAGATGCTTTTGCTTCTTTCTCACCCCCAATTTGCTTACACTGCTGGCCCATTTTAATTTTCTTTATTTTATTTTAATTAACATTTTTTTAATTAGTTTTATTTTAATCAATAAAAATCATAAAAAAATTTAGATTTAGGTTTTTAATTAATTAATTTAATTTTTGATAAATAAAAAATAATTTAAATTAATCACTTTAATTTTATTTTATTAATTAATTAGAATTATGTTTTATACTATATATATATATATATATATATATATATATATATATATATATATATATATATATATATATATATATATATATATATATATATATATATATATATATATATATATATATATATATATATATATATATATATATATATATATATATATATATATATATATATATATATATATATATATTAAATAATACATCAAAATTATTTTCTAACAATTAGTTTCTTTTCTTAAAAAAATTAAATTAATTTTGACTTCTATTTTTAACTAAGTTAACTAAATTAGATTTCGTTTTAATTAATTAAAATTAATTGACCTTTTCATTAAATTTAATTTAGTTTCTTAGGTTTTTATCAAACTTTTTTTGTAAAATTAATCAAATAATTAGGTTAATCATCAAATTTTTTCCATCAAAAAATCATAAAAACAATTTCTTTTCTCTTTTCTTTATTTTACAAATCTTCGCATACTTTACTTCCCAATTATGTAATTGCTCAAAGCCTGTAATAGATAAATTAGGGTTTACTGCTTTTTCATCCCCATTCACAAATTTGTACCCCCATTCTAGAGGCCTTGTAATAGCGTAGAACATTTAATTTCTGCAATTTATTGCTTTCCTTATTACTGTTAGTAATTAGAGTTTGTATAACAAGATTAAAATCAATCATTAGAAAACCCTAATCTCAAGATGCTTGAAATCAAAACACTTCACATACATGCACCTCTAGAGTGACCCTCACTTGTTGCCTCAGATTTAAATAGTCATGTCCCTCGAACATGGGATGCTTTAGCAAAGACCCTCAGTTAAAAGATCATAGTTCCTCGATGCCCCTTCAATGCTGCCTTCCGTAAACAATCTTAGTCCCTTACGATAATTGCTAAAGCGTCCTACAAGTTGCCTTCTATGACTATACGATAACCCACGTCTGTCCCTCACATCCAATGATATGGCTCCCTACTAACTAATGGTGGAACAACACTATCTAAAGGAAGAGGAAAATAACGCGAAAGACTTTTTGAGTAGGTAGATCGCTCGTAATCGCTTGCTCACAAACTAAAACAATCTTTACACTTCACACTTTCAAAACAACTACTTCCAAGACACTTTATAAACACTCTTGAGGACTGACACAAGGGTTATTATAAAGAAAACTGCCTTACATTGGCATTTTCAAAACATCTTTTCACAAAAAAACACTTCCTTTCAACAAATATTTTCAAAACAAACATTTTGTATACATTCTCAACGATACGAGAACCATTACAAAATTGTTGTACTTAGGAATTTTTCAAAATATTTTCAAACATATACAAATCATTTTTAAAGTGAGCTAGCGATTAAGAGCTCGTAGAAAGCTACTGATGAAAAGGGTGCTAACACCTTCCCTTTTCATAACCTACCCCCCTTACTCAGAAAATTCTCAAAGATCTTTCCTGTTCTTTTCACCCTTTCCTTTATTGGATAAAAAGAAAATTTGGTGGTGACTCTTGCTATCTACAACATTTGCAATAAGACAGAAACCCAAAATTCAATTCTCCCACCGTATTACAGAATTGGCTACTCTGCTGGGGAAAAGACTAAAAGTGGGGTTACCTTAAGAGATAGATCACCTTTATTTCTTTACTTGCTTGCTTTGTATGCTTTATATTTCCGAATATGCTTGGGTTTATTTCTTGTATAGATCCTATACCCGAATCTGGGGACATTTTAGGTAAATAGCAATAGATCGTGAAAACTATACGGGGGAGACCGATATGGTTGAAACGATGGCTACGTTAGTGTGACACATTGGTTGGTGCTGGTGTCCCTTGATT